TCTGTTTCAAAATTAACATGTCTTCGTCTCTAAACAACAGAAATGTCATTTCTTCTTCAGTAAAAGTAATTTCTTCAATTTTTGATGGATTTGTTGCTATTTCCTTTTCCAATCGAATGGTTCTTGCACAAGCAGACAGTCTTTTAACGGAGCCTTGAACATAATTGTCTACTACAATTTCAGCGGTAGTTTTGTTTTTAAAATTAATACTTTTGGCTGCTTCTTTCATTTTTAAAGAGCACAAAGTATCATAATATGATGTAGAATCATGTTCGTGCGGTAAATCTTTCATACATCCAGTTTCTGTGGCGTTTACCATTGCACTACCTTGATACTCAACTTTAATTCTTTTACGACAGCCAGCAATTGCACATTTAAAAACGATTCTTTTCGAATCAGTTGGAATGTATTTATAACCATCCACAAATGGTAATAAACAATTTCTTGAAGAATTCAATACGGTGAAATGTGGAGGCTGCGGAGGATTCATATATAAAAACATATTGAGATGGTTATTATTTACACAACTTTAAAAGAAAGGTTGTTTATATTAATAATAACTTTAATATCATCTAAGAATAAATTGAGTCGTTAAAAATATCTATCTGGTAATAAGTTTTATTTTTAATTTTAAACAAGTGGTTAAAGTGGGTTTTTGTCAGTTTTGCGCTAAGTTGCTTTGTTGAACTTCTTTTTGATTGGAAATGGTAATTTTTGGAAATGCTATTGATTATATTTGCCTCTTTTTGACACACTAAAAGATCTTCTAAGCTTTTTGTTGCCAATTGTTTGATTCAAATTACATATAAATTATAATTCTATGATTCGGATTTTTATTTTTATAAATGGTTTGAAATAAAAATATCGTTTCAGTTAAATTTACAAAAAGTTGAACTTCTATTGAATTTTTTCAGGCGAATAGTAATCAGGCGAAAAATAATCGGGCGAGTTATCCGTTTCCCCTACAAATTGAGTGACGACATGTTGAGTTGCATTCACACCACAAATTATGGTGTTGTTGTTGGCATCCCAATTGTCTCTGTATTTGTGATAGTACTCGTTATCATAGGTATTATAGTAATTACAATAGTCTTTTTACAAAAGCGCAAAGAAACAAAGAAAATGGAAAACATCTGTGTCTTTAAAATGAATCGTTCAAACATCACAATGAGTGTGTTAGACGGCAACATTTTAACAAACAAAAAGTCGCTGACATTTGATGACATATGTGAAGTTATTCCCGTTGAAAAGGAATCTCGCGAACTTCTCTGTGTTGGCAACAAAGGCAAAGGCATTTTGAAAGTCCAAATGACAACACGTGGCGGCTGTGACAAGTACTCAATTTGCACAGAACCACAATTGGTGACTTTGAAGAAAGGCGAGGCGTGCGAATTTGAGGTGTTTGTGACACCACACTGCTCATTGAAATTACACGACGAGATGAAGATAGTCACTATGAACATTGAAAATGGTGAGACTGTGTCTGTCCCAATTGCCATTGAAATCACAACAGAAAACTCTACAAAATTGGATTACGACGAATTGAAAGAAGACAAGAAACTTGGGGAAGGCTCGTTTGGGATTGTCTACAAAGGAAGTTACAGAGGAAATGTTGTTGCTATAAAGAAAATGAAACAGTCAAATGACACAGACAAACTTATCAAAGAATTTGAGAACGAAGTATCAATGTTGGACAAATTTAGAAGTGAGTATATTGTCCACTTCTATGGAGCTGTGTTTATACCAAATAAGATATGTATGGTCACTGAATTTGCACAGTATGGAAGTCTACAAGACTTGATCAAACACAGAAAAAATGAACAAATTCCGCCAATGAAAATTCGAGTTAAAATGATGATTGATGGAGCAAGAGGGATAAATTATTTACATGAGAACGGGATATTACACAGAGACATCAAACCAGACAACATTCTTGTTATTTCACTTGACTTGAATGAGAAAGTGAATGCTAAATTGACAGATTTTGGAAGTGCGAGAAATGTCAACATGTTGATGACTAACATGACATTCACAAAAGGTATTGGCACTCCAGTGTATATGGCACCTGAGATATTAAACAAAGAGAAATATAAGAAGGCTGCTCATATCTTTTCATTTGGAGTCACTATGTATGAGGCATTTGACTGGTCTGAAGCTTATCAAAATGACACGTTCAAATTTCCATGGAAAATCGCTGAGTTTGTGATTCACAACAATCGGCTGAAACGAAAAGACCCAATAGAAGAAGAGCAATACAACATCATCACACAATGTTGGTGCCAAAACCCAAAAAGTCGTCCACAAATGGAGATGCTGGTGGACCAACTTTTTAAATTTCTTTGATTGTTTTTTAAACATTTTAAATTGAAATACAACCAAATAAATTAACAAATTTAACTGTTTTTCAAAACTCTGTACTGGGATGCCCCGATTTTTTAGACAAATAATTTCTAAATTATTTTTTCTTTACTTAACCCTCATTTTTTTGTTCAAAATATTTACTCGAAAAAAACAAAATAACGAACATGACTTTTTTATTTTTACTTGACAAATAAATCTTCCACCAAAAATTTACTTGAAAAATATAAAAAACAAACTTGGGATTAAAATTTTGATTACCATAACACAATTTTTGCCAAAAAGATAAAACACAACTTTATAATTCAATGTCCATGTTTACAGAATCACCAAGTTGTGTTTTGGATAAAAATAAAAAGTATAAACGAGTAAAACAAGCATTGAGAGAAGATAAATAGGTTAAGGCTATACAATTGAAAAGTTTTTTTAATTTTTGAACTGTTTATTTTATTTAAGACTCTTTTGATTAATAACCTTGATTGTTTAAATGTTTGTTTTATGTTATCGATTACTTTTTTAATTGTTGAAATAAATAAAAACTTATTATTAATTTAAGTGTTGTATCATTTGATGCAATAATGTCATTCATCACATCGTTTGTTTATTGTTATGTTGTCGTTTATCTTATGTTTGTTTGAAACATGTAATTATACTCACGTTTAGTTACAAAATGGAACACAAACCAAATAACAACCTAAAAAAATCGGGGAAGATTTACCCAATATTTGGGTGATTTCCCGATTTTTTGTTCAATAATTGAAATTGTATTGATTTTTAAGGGTTTTAAACTGTGTACCGTTGTTGGTTCAACAAATAGGAAAATAAAAAATAAAAATATAAAAAAATAGTAAATAATGGAAAATTAGGACAAAAGGTTTTTATAAATTATAAAAACGGAACAGAGTTTTAAAATATAGTTTATATTAAAATTGTTACTTTTATATTATTTATTTAAAAAAAATATCTCAAACATTTTTATCGAATTAAAAAAACATAAACCTTATGCAAGAAGATGAGATTGTTGGCACATTTAAATGGAAGAAAAAAGGAGAAGCACCAAAAAGCTCACGACATGTTAAAGCTTCTCCTGATCCGACTTACTCGTTTGATCCCAAAGGAAGTAATTTAACTGAAGTTGAGTGTTTTAGGTTGTTTTTTTGTGAAGAGATAACAAATAACCTTTTGTTGTTTTCAAATAAAAAAATAGCCAAAGAACATAAGACTGATGATAACAAACTTTCTAAAACGAGCATCCTGAGGTACCTAGGAATTATTATCTACATGGGAGCTCGCCGTGATGTCATTAATCCCGTGGAAGAGCTTTGGTCATTCGATCACGGAAAATCTATTTATAGAAATAGCATGCCACATGACATGTTTAAATTCATTTCTTCACACTTTGAAACTTACGATGTGAGTCAGCCAGATGATGTTTGTGATGATGCATCAGACACTTCAGATGATGGGGATGTCGAAGAGAAAGAGAAAGCTGACAACAGACCAGAAGGAGACTATTTCAATTGTGCGGAATATTCAGATCGAGATTTCAGAGATCTCTCTGAAGAACAACTCAGAAAAGATGCCAGAATCAAAAGGGGCATCGTTGGTAGTGGAGTTGTTAAAGTCGTCCCTGCAATAACTCCAAATGCACACGACAGCTTTTCTAAAATTAGAGTGATTTTAGATAAGTTTATTTCTAATCTTGTCAACCAAACCTATTACAAACCTAGTTATAGTGTTTCGGTTGACGAACATTTGTGTTCTTATAAAGGGCATATGTGGGCTAAGGTGTTTATTAAGTCCAAGCCCGGACGTTATGGTATAAAGGTTTGGGTTTGTTCTATTTTTACTAAATGAGTTTTATTTGTGGAGTCAAAAATGACGGATAGTTATTATTGGTTTGACATGTATGATCAAATTTAATAATTTAATTATTTGTTGATTTGAGTTATTTATAGTTTTCTAACTCGTAGATGTGTGCTGACTGTGAGACAGGAATGACTCTAAACCTCCAAATGTACTGTGGTAAGTGTGATGAAAAAAGGACAATCAGGGCTTTAAAGTAATCAGAATTATGGTACTACCCATGTTATGCCGTGGTAACAAGTTTACCATTATGTGT